TGTCAGTGACAATAGGCGCATTCACACCGCAGTACTTTTCCCACAAAGGTTCGTGAGAACTTAGTTCATGAGAACTCTTTAGTTCTCATGAACTAAGTTCAGATCGCGTTCACACCGGAATAAGTTCCTGGGGAAGGATTAGTCAAATGAAGCCGCTGACGTCACCTCTTCTTCTTCTGCTTTGGGTTTACTGGCAGGCCGCAAACAACTTCACGGCGTATACTGCCACCCGGAGTCCCCGGCTGGAAGTCCCCGGAGTTGGGGACTGGCTTCAGTAGAAGCTGCTGGGACTCCCAGCAGCTTCTACTGAAGCCTTCCGAGTAAATCGCCAGAACAACGACACCTCCTCATCTCCACCGCTCCCATGTTTTCTTTTGTCTTGCCATAAGTTAGTCTCTCTGCGTTTGTGCGCTGGGCTAATGCTAATGCTAATAATGCTAATGCGAGGATAAAAAAATGGCGGCTTCACAAAACATTTTGGGAGTTTTACGGGGCGTGGTTTGCATTCCGCCTAGCAAATCAAACATAGGAACCTTTTTCTCCCACGGAAGTACCTGCTCTCTAGCAGGGATGGAAAAGGGGGTAAAAAAGGTTCTGATGAACTAATTTTTGTTCCGGCTCTTTTTGGTGTGAACGCGACATTTCGGAACTATATCGGAACTAAAGTGGGAAAAGTACTGCGGTGTGAACGCGGCTAATGGTCCACAATACAGCAGTGAGGAATTCAGACAGTTTGCAGAGCAGTATGGATTTCAGCATCTTACCTCTAGCCCACTGTATCCACGGGCTAATGGGCAGGCTGAAAAAGGGGTCCAAATTGTTAAAAGGCTGCTGAAAAAGGCAAGTGATGGTAAAACTGACCCTTACCTGGCTTTGTTGAGTTACAAGGCCGCACCGCTGGAGTGTGGTGCATCCCCTGCTGAGCTCCTCATGTGTCGCAAGCTGCGCACCACGGTACCACACATTTCAAACTACAACAACGACAAGAAGGTGCTGGATAATAAGAGAGTGAAGCTCAAGCTCAAACAGAAAATGAACTATGACAGAGTGACAAGGAGACTGGAACCTCTTCGGGAAGGGGATGTTGTGATAATTGAGGGTCCTGATTCCTGGACCAGGAAAGCAACTGTCCTCAGTGAAGTGGGTCCCAGGTCATTCACTGTGAAAACTGAGAATGGACAAGTGCTTCGGAGAAACAGGAAGAGTCTGTTGAAGACTCAGGAGAACATTGAGGAAGTTGGTCAGGAGACTGAGTCTGAAAAGGGAATTGAGGAGACACCAGACTTGCAACATGAGCCTCCTTCACCTTCCCCAGTAACTGAAGCACCAGATCTGAGAAAATCCACAAGACATAGAAAGCCACCTGACAGACTTATAGAACAACAAATTGTTGACATGCAGTTATAAGTGACTTTAAGAAAAGAGCATGGTTGGCATTTATTTGATATTTGTGCCATAAGTTTTGTTTAAGGTCCCATGTCATGCTTTTCTGGTTATTACCCGTCCCCTTTTGTGTTATGTAGCTTTTTCTGCATGTAAACGGAGAGTCACAAACCCATACACATGTAGCGAGTAAAACTCTAACACAGAAAAGACCTGTCTATGCTGCCCCAGAACGCCTCGTTGGGGATTTCTCTTTTTCCATTGTTTACTTCTTGGGTATAGTGACGTATTTGGGTGTAGTTACGTTATTTTCGCGGAGCAATTACGTTTGGACCAATCCGTGGACTTCCTCACACACACACACTCGGCGGGACGTTGCGAGGCTCGCTGCTGCGAGGAGCGGGACACTGTGAACTGGCTCACTGGTGTGGGGTCGGCGAGACAGCGAGACACCGCGGAACTCAGCCTGGGCACACACACAAACTCCCAGCCAGGCTGCGGGTGTGTGTGTGTTTCGCTGTGTCTCGCTGTCTCGCGACTGGGCTCACAGGGACGGCCCCTACACACGGCAGCGTGCGTTGTCGCTTGCCGGCGGGCATATCTGAAGCTAGACCAACAACCAATCACCTGAATCTCCCGCCCCGGACACACAAGCAGCGGTTTGATTGGCTAGAGCTTGTACTGGCATATGATTCGATTGGCTGACGCTTCCGTCGAAGCTTCAAAAGTAGAACATTGCTCTACTTTTGCAGCGAGCACCGCGAGAAAAGCTACGCTTTGCTCCCACAAAGCAGTTCGGCGAAGCGTGACGTCACCCCATTCAAAGTGAATGGGCAGAAGCGTTGAAGCGTCAACGCACGCCGCCGTGTGTAGGGGCCGGGAGGGGGGGGGGGGGCAGGAGATCCAACAAGCCGTTTAGGACAGAGAGTGAATACACATACTATACAGAGATGCTGTATGAGAAACCAATGTGAGTTTGGAAAATTGCACAATATAAATCTATTCTAGTAGACCTCAACAATGGAATTATGATCAGTAGAAATGGCCATGACATGGGACCTTTAACAATAGATATTTTATTTAGAGTAAATAGCAAATTTAAAGCTGCTATATTTTCTTTACAGTATGTTTAGACATTTTGAATGTTTAAAATGTTTACATTTGAAGACTGTACGTTCCAGAAGCTATATAATTAAGAAATGTGTTATACTGACCTGTTTGGAAAGGGGATGTAATGATAGGTGTTTATGCTTAGTTACAATGCATATATGTTACCACTTGGCGGCAGTATAACATCTATGGACATAGATGTTAGCAGAACAAGATGTGAGTTGGCTAATAAAGTGGCTAGTAAAGCTAGTCTAAAGATTCAAGATGATGTCTTACTTATAACCAATAAGAACATTACAGGTACTATGGGTAAATATGTTATTTTAATCTGTAATTGGTCAATTTGTGGGAGAAATAGATGTTAAATGTCATTAAACACACCCTAATTCACTTAAAGGGGCCCTATATGTTCATTTTCATTTTCAATACATTTATCAGTATTTAGTGTCTCTACTTTAAAGAGTCCTCTCCTGCTGATGTTCAGGTGTATATCAGTATGTAGTGTCTCTACTTTAAAGAGTCCTCTCCTGCTGATGTTCAGGTGTATATCAGTATGTAGTGTCTCTACTTTAAAGAGTCCTCTCCTGCTGATGTTCAGGTGTAGATCAGTATGTAGTGTCTCTACTTTAAAGAGTCCTCTCCTGCTGATGTTCAGGTGTATATCAGTATGTAGTGTCTCTACTTTAAAGAGTCCTCTCCTGCTGATGTTCAGGTGTATATCAGTGTGTAGTGTCTCTACTTTAAAGAGTCCTCTCCTGCTGATGTTCAGGTGTATATCAGTATGTAGTGTCTCTACTTTAAAGAGTCCTCTCCTGCTGATGTTCAGGTGTATATCAGTATGTAGTGTCTCTACTTTAAAGAGTCCTCTCCTGCTGATGTTCAGGTGTATATCAGTATGTAGTATCTCTACTTTAAAGAGTACTCTCCTGCTGATGTTCAGGTGTATATCAGTATGTAGTGTCTCTACTTTAAAGAGTCCTCTCCTGCTGATGTTCAGGTGTATATCAGTATGTAGTGTCTCTACTTTAAAGAGTCCTCTCCTGCTGATGTTCAGGTGTATATCAGTATGTCGTGTCTCTACTTTAAAGAGTCCTCTCCTGCTGATGTTCAAGTGTATATCAGTATGTAGTGTCTCTACTTTAAAGAGTCCTCTCCTGCTGATGTTCAGGTGTATATCAGTATGTAGTGTCTCTACTTTAAAGAGTCCTCTCCTGCTGATGTTCAGGTGTATATCAGTATGTAGTGTCTCTACTGTGACATGACTCCATGCTTTAATGTTCAAAAAGCTCTTTATTTTTCTCATACTATCTGTGCTGCAGCACCTCTTTTCACCCTCTGTCTGAAACCATAGTGATGTCACTATGTTACAGAAGTAACGAAAGTGGAGTCCAATGGAGGCATTTCAGGCAGAGGGGGGTAACACAGGGATGTTAGCCTTTGCAGACCATTTACATGCACAAAAACCTATAGAACACACTGCAGGGAAGGGAAAACTCGAAAAATCTGAATAGGGGTCCTTCCAAACTGAACCCACATTTCTGCATAACTAAAGCTTTTCCAAAGTCCCCTTCAGACTGTATGTATCATTAAACAACAGCTTGATGTTTTGATATTTTTGTGATTACAAAATAATGATCTTAACACTAAAGTGTAACAGCTGGAAAATGTCCACTCAAGGGTATTATTTATGAGATAAAAACCCTATTTCAACCGTGTTCCCTTATCTAAACAGAAGAAGAATATATGTAAAGGGGAATTAAATTGTGAATCTTATTTTTATAAAACATAGTTTAGGTGATTGCAATGAAAAGCCTGAACAGAGGTTAGACAAACTTTCACATGAGACACAGTCTGGACATAGATTTGTCTACTTTTGGGAGACAGAGATGAACTCAGCTTGTGGTGTTCAAAGTTTTAAAGGGGACCTATCATGCAAAATGCACTTTTGTACGTCTTTTATACATGAATATGTGTCCCCGGTGTTCCAGGGAACTCACCAAGTGTCAGAAAACACAACCCTCTCTATTTTCCTCCATACCCAAATCTCTAAAAAAAGGGGCTGCAACGGATCTGATAAAAACTGATCCAGATTTGAACACTGTCCTGACGTCAGGACAGTGGCGCTACGGCTATTGGGCCAACTCCACCAATCAGGAGGAGACAGCCACGGCCATTGCCGTTCGAAAGCGCTGGAGACGCTGTAGTACATATGCCAGGCCTGTAGGTGGTGCTGTTCTCACAGAATCAGCCCTTGCAAAAACAGAGCTAACATTTTTCAAATAGAGCGAAATGAGGCATGGCTAAAATGCATGATCTGTTTGGTATTTTGAAAAAAAAAAAGTATAAATATGCCTTATATAGGTATGGTCCTACACTATATTATTCAAATATAGCATGATAGGTCCACTTTAAATTAACTTTTCTTTTTTTACAGAAATCGTGTGCGGGGTCCTCAGGATGGTAGCTGGGTGTGTATGCGTGTGTGAGGACAGCAGCAGCACACACTCATGGAGTTGGATGGCTCTGAACAGCCAGCCTCAGTGGACGTGGACCAGGGCCTGACTCTGGCCTGCGTGGCCTTCCTCTGCCTGCTGCTGGTGGCCATGATCATCCGCTGTGCCAAGGTCATCATGGACCCCTACAGCGCCATCCCCACCTCCACCTGGGTGGAGCAGCACCTGGAGGACTGACACACTCAAACATACCTGCATATGTGTGATCCTCCAGGAAAGGAAGGTTCATCAAGAGTTCTGTTATGAGCCAGTGCTTGTTTAGGAAACCCAATAACTCCACACAAATTTGATTCAAGAAACACAAAAACAAACAGGCAACAAGGGAAAAAGACGAAGGAAGCCAATAAGAACATGTTTTTCCTGGTACTGATCTTATTTTATACAAATGCACAATCTAAAATGTTTCTTCATAACAAACCTAGAAGAGCCATGTTCAACAGAGTGTACATACTTAAGGAAGGGGTAATTCATAGCACCACAAAGAGTTCTGCTGCAGTAATGGTATAAAATAACCTAGATGGGAGAAATAGCTAGAATCCAGGCATGAACAATACACTTTAACATCCTGTAAGTTTTGGAGGGCTAGAAGGAGAAAGCCCTCCAAAGGAAGCTGTCACTGATGGAGAAACATCACTATAACTACAGAGTAAAGCACATAAACTTGACTTTTTGTATCTACCTAGAGATACTCAGGTGGCCCAGAGCCTGCCTAACATTCCTGTCTGAATAACAAACGCAATCATTACTGGCAAGCTTTAATCAGTACACAATTTGGCCTAGCGCGGATAAAACCTGACATTTAATATAGAACACATAAAAAAGTTCAGGTAAACCAAAATCATCCTACAGAGGAATACAAAAGCGCTTTGAAGAGAAGACCTGTGTGATCAAGCTCCCAATATACTGTAAAAAATGTACAATAGAGTGGTGCAGGAATGAGTCCCAGAACCCAGAATTACTTTTTACCTCTTCCGGTTCCCTTGTCTCGAAGTCAATGTTTTATTGAACGTGTTTATGGTTAGAAGCCTGAAATAAGGTTTGTGGTTAACACAAGCAAGAGATTTTCAAGTTTTGTTCAACCACATCAAATACGTCAGAAATACTCCACTCTTAAATGTCGAAAATGTATATTTGTCATTAAAACGGCGGTTGCTAACAAGTGACTAAATGAGACAAGTAAACGTCATCTCACTGATTTTTGCTGCCTTTAGCTTAGCGGTGGTGATGCCCAGCCATGTGACCTTGATGTAGTTTGTTTATAGCCTAGCATTAACTATTTACTTCTGCTGATTGTATTTCCTCTTCAATAATTTCAAAGGAGTGTTAATATGTGGAGATTATCCTGATGAACAGAACCTGTAAGTATCATAAATGTGTGTTGGCCACAGCTTATTTTCTGCAATACACTGAATCCAATGGGGAAATCCGATAGCTTTTTGTTGAGGAAACCCTTGGGATGCTAACGTCCGGGTTGGCCTATAAAAATATATCATCACTGCACCACTCCAATAAGAAAAAAGCATTTGCTATGTTATATTGGAAACTGCTTTTTGCTGTTAGCATGGAGCGATCAGTGTATTCTACAATTTACAAGGAAAAGACGAAAGAACAATACATCTCTCTCAGCTTTCAAAACCAGGTCTTGGTGATCCCCATTAGACATGACGCGTTTAATGAGGTACTTCATTGACTTTATTTGTCAAAATCTATTTGCTAATCATAGGGATTAGTCAGCCTTACTCAAAGTCCGATGTTAAATCTGAAATAGCCACTGTTCCACTAGCCTGTGTAACCTAATACCATCTCTGAATGCTTATCTGTTTGTTCTGAAAAAGGGAAATGTTCCTGGGGTTTACGATCTATATTTTGTAATCTTTGCTCATCTGCTGGTAATATTTAATCAATATTCTAGGGCTAATGGGAAATTGTATTTTTACTCCTCTGTTACAGCACCTTAAAGTTCTGTTCTAAATTAGGTCTACAATGTGCCTCTGAAACAGTGTTGGCACTGGAGAAGTTGGGCTTGTGCTTGTTTGGTGTTTTTTGGAATCCTGTTTTCGTGTTTAAAAGTCATTGAGCCACTGCTGCTGTTTATTCAAGTGTAATTGCAAAATCACTGCAGTGCAGTTTAAATCATATCAATTATAAATACATTGTAGGGGGCCTTTGGCTATTGGTTTCATGAGGAACAGGCAGATCTTTTTTGTTTTATAGATCAAATGTTATATTAAATTAGATTTAATTAGAATAGATTAGATAAGACTTTATTGGCATCGCACATAGTACTGTGAAATGCAGTTTGATGTTATGACTTCTGCTTAGGATGCATAGGCTGAGTAGAGCTAATGAGCATTGACTCTCAATGTACTGCTATTCAGCCATTTAAAACATGTTTTTATTTATGTTAAGATACAACTTAACATGAATAAGGCTCTGTAGCTCCTGACCAGAAGGAGAGAGACTTCAGAACGGTGTCAGAAGCAGCACAATTCTTCTGCTACACACCCAGAGACCAGACCCTTTTTTTACAATATGTGTCATGATGTGTTCAATAATGTTGTTTTTACCACCTCCCTTGTGTGGTTACACGTGTTACACAAAGACTCACCACACAGTCGGGTAAACACACAGGTCCTTGCCCCTGGAAGCATTTGCTGATTTGCTTTCGAATGGACGTGTTGATCAGACAGAGGCAGAGGGACTAACAGAAAACCACTTGCTTCTCCAATTTTCATGTAAATAGTAATCTGTCAGGAGAATCACCTGGCTTTTACCAGGAGTGGGAGATGGCGCTCTTATTGGTTAATTCATGTTACGCCCAAAACATGTCTTGATTAATTAGGGGAGGAAATACAACCCTTTTGACCCCTGCTCCTTATTTTGCACCAAATTATGCACCGCTCTGAATGCACTTGCTACATGCACTTTAGCACGTTTGAATACAGCCCTCTGTTCAGAGTTGTATCTGCTTCGGGTAGTCAAGGTATAAAAGAGCCTGTGATCAGTTTTGCAGCTGCAGACGCTGCTAGGCCTCCTAGCATTTTACCACTTCCTGTTCCCTCGTCTCAAAGTCAATGTTTTGTTTTGTTTGTGGTTAGAAGCCTGAAATAAGGTGTGTGGTTAGCACGAGCTGAAGAGATTAGCCCGTTTTGTTCTACGACATAAACTACATCAGTAGTTACACCAATTGTAAATGTCCGAAGCTTTTATGTGTTATAAAAACAGCGGTTGCTAACTAGAGAATAAACAAAAAACGACTGAACGTCATCATGCCAAACATTAGCAGCCTTTAGCTTAGCGGTGGTGATGCCCAGCCATGCCAAGGCCATTTTGTTTGTTTATAGCCTAATGTTAGCTTTTTCTTTCTGCCAATTGCTTTTACAAATCACAAAGTGGTGTTTATATATGGAGTATCATGAATGTGTGTTTGCCACAGAGCCTTTTTTACTGCAATATACAGTACCTGTTGCTTTTTGTCGAGGGAGCCCTTGGGATGCTAACTTCCGGGTCGGCCTACAAAAATGTGTCACTACTGCACCACTCTATAGGAAACTAGCTAGTACATGAATGATGAATGTGAATATGTCAGATGTTTGGATCCTTGAAGTACTTCACATTGAAAAAGATTGGACTGCAGTACAGTGAAGAGGATTGTGAAAACTAAAAGTGCCTGTCTTTTGTGTGCTTTATAATTAAACATGAATGAAACTGGAAGCCAATCTTATGTTATTTTTGAAGAGTAATTGGGTCACACGAAAAGCCTGCTGAACTTTTATTAAGCACTTACCGCTGGGGAACTTCCTGCCAACCCTCATCAACTTCTGTCTCACTTAATAGGGTAAATGGCACGGAGATGAAATATCTAATCTTGCTGAGAGTCAAGGGCATATTCTGCACATTCAACCATCCGCAGGGCTTTGAAGGCCGAGTTCAAGGTACAAGCAGTATAATATGATAATGAGGTTGGTGAGAATGTAAAACAGTGATTTAATTTGCCCTGGCTGTTCAATTGTGTCCTGTTTCTCTCTTGCCTTTAACCTTGGCTATGTTGCAGCCTCCTGTCTGCTGCAGCTCTGTTTCTATGAAAAGGTCAGATGCCTCATGTAGAGCATGTTTGTGGGGCACAGGGCACGCTTTACAGCATTCGGTATGCATCTGGGGGTGTGAGGGCCTCCTGCTAACATCCGTGGCATTTACATCAACATTCTGCATGAGTGAATACTGATTTATATATATGGTCCTGATTCTCTCTGTGTGTGTGTGTGTGTGTGTGTGTGTGTGTGTGTGTGTGTGTGTGTGTGTGTGTGTGTGTCAGAACAAGCAAGCACCCTTTACCTGTATTAGAAAAAAGAGATTCATTATTCACATTTATGGAAAAAAGCCAGGGAGAGGGAGAGATTCAATATATTATAAAAACCCCTTCATCTGGAATACTCCGCTCAGCAGACAGCCAGAGTCTTGCCAGAAAATGATTGGAAATAAAATGTTTTGATGAATAATGCCCCAACTTTACTAATGTGTTACAATGACATAATGTTTTTGAGTTTAAATATCATTCATTACAATTCATTTGGGGAATTTTCAAGTAAAGATTAACATATGTAGTGAATAGCGATTAATTTTATTAATACATCTTCAGCATTTTATTTTTTAATTTGATTGTTTTTATCACTTTACAACCCTGGTATATGTTATTTTTCAAAGCAGTCAATGGCCATTGTACAAAATGGGGATGACCCTATGTAAACCTTTGCCAAATGCGGTTCTCGGTTTTCGGGTGGGAAGGGGGAGATAGAGCCCTGCAAAACCTTCACACTAATTGAAAAGAGGGAGAGAGAAAAAATGACTACATGAGTTTCAGTGAATGAAGTAAAAATAGCTGCTGGATTACAGGACACACCGCAGAATGAAAGCCGCCCACTCTGTGTTCATGCTGTTGATACTAACACTCTGAAGAGCTTGTGTTGCAGTGCAGCACAGGACAAAGTTCTGTGAGTTCACTGAGTGCTTTAATCTTGGCAGCAAGTATTTTTGTTTTCACCCAAACAGTCACCCCGAGAAACAACCAACACTTGTGACAAAAATTGCTGCAGCAGTGTTTGTCAACCTCTTCCCTTCAGGCAGTGCTTACAAATATTTGGGTCAGGACCCCGATGGGGGTTGCCAAAGCTTTTGACAATGACAGAAAATTGGCAGAAAACTATTTGCATGAACTGAAGGATCAGGATTTAATTAAAGCTCACCTATTATGCTATATTTGAAAAATATATTATAAGATCATATCTATACGAAACCTGTCTCCGAAGTGTTTTGCTCAAAATACCAAACAGATCACCCATTAGGCGCTTTCAAACCAGAGTAGCCTACTTTTCCCCGTACTTTTCCCGTTTGGTTCCGATAGTTCCTGGGATTTTGCGTTCACACCAAAAAGAGAACTTAGTTCATGAGAACTTTTACCCCCTTTTTAGTGCCTGCTAGAGAGGTGTTACTTTCCTGGGGAGAAAAAAGTTCCAATTTCTGATTGGCTGGGCGAATTGCAAACCACGCCCCGTAAAACTCTGAAAAGTTTTGTGAAGCCGCCATTGTATTTGCTGGCATTAGCATTATTCGCATTAGCATTAGCCCAGCGCACCAACGGAGAGAGAATAACTTATGGCAACACAAAAAAAAACATGGGAGCGGTGGAGATGAGGAGGTGTCAGCGTTCTGGCGATTTATTCGGAAGGCTTCAGTAGAAGCTGCTGGGAGTCCCAGCATCTTCTACTGAAGCCAGTCCCCAACTCCGGGGACTTCCGGCCGGGGACTTCGGGTGGCAGTATACGCCGTGAAGTTGTTTGCGGCCTGCCAGTAAACCCAAAGCAGAAGAAGAAGAAGTGACGTCAGCGGCTTCATTTGCGTAATCTTCCCTCAGGGAACTTATTCCGGTGTGAACGCGATCGGCTCTTAGTTCCATGGCGGTACTAAGTGCTGGGAACTAAGTACGGCAAAGTACTTGGTGTGAAAGCGGCTATTGTAGCATGCCTCATACCCCTCTATTTCAGCCCTGTTACTAAAGTGCTGTTTCTGGGTCTGGCCCTTTAAATGTAACCGAGCTGCTGTTGGCCACGCCCCTTTGGAGCTGCTGTTGGCCACGCCCCCTTGGAGCTGCTGCTGGTCACGCCCCTTTGGAGCTGCTGCTGGCCACGCCCCTTTGGAGCGTCCGCATGCAAGCAGTGAGCTCTGTGAAGAGAAGGCTGTCTACCAGCAGAAACTCAGCTAAACGCTGCCGTGATTAAACGCTATATTGTTCCAAACCACATCAAGCATTATTTCTGTAACAGTATGGAGCTCAAACGCTTTCTCTCTCGTGGGTTTACCACAAAGACAGTACATTTTTTAATCCGGCTTGTTTACACACATTCTCTCCAGTACAGCGTTAGCTCTGAGTGTTAGCGATGCTTGCTAATGTAAACACAGACCTATTACTTCCAAAAGACGTCACGCATTGTTTGTGATACAGCACATAGCTTGACATGTTCTTTATTCAGTGTTTACCACTAGAACAGTGCCATTATACGTATTATAACAACTTTACTCTAAGTGCCTCCTGCAGACATCCTGCTGAATATACAGATACACAGCTGAGGGAGGGGATTCAGCTAGCCGAATGTATATGGGAACGATAGGTTGGGCGGAACGTTGCCAGGAGGTCAATGTAAAGCCAGCCCACATTTTAGTAATGTCGTCAAGTTCTCAGCAAATCTGGATCAGCTCCATTGTACCCCAGTTTTTAGAGATGTGGGTAAGGAGGAACAGGTGTACCTCAAGGCTCTGTGCTTGGACCCCTCCTCTTCACCATTTACATGCTCCCACTTGGTCAAATCATCCGCGACCATGGTCTCAGCTTTCATTCATACGCTGATGACATACAGCTCTATCTCTGCACCAAACCGTGCACTCAGCTCCCCCCTCAATCCCTTGTCAACTGCCTACAGGACATAAAAAACGGGATGTCATCAAACCTGCTCAAACTAAACAGCAATAAAACAGAGCTCATGATTGTGGCTCCCAAGGCGCAGCTCCGGAAGGTTGGAGACCTGCTCCTCTCCATTGACGGCTGCTCCATCTCTCCGTCCACTGAAGTCCGCAATCTGAGAGTTATCCTGGACACCACACTCCTTCCAGGCGCACATCAAATCTGTCACCAAATCGGCTTTCTACCACCTCAAAAACATTTCCAAACTCCGCCCTTCACTCTCTGACTGTGGCAGAAACGTTAATACACGCTTTCATCACCTCCCGCCTCGACTATTGCAATGGAGTCCTGTCCGGGGTTCCCAGCAAAGCCCTGGAGAGGCTCCAATACGTCCAGAACTCTGCCGCCAGGCTTCTCACCCGCACCAAGCCCTGGCAACACATCGCCCCCACCCTCATCCATCTTCACTGGCAGCCGGTCAAGTCCTGGATTCAGTACAAAACATTCCTCCTCACTTACAAGTCTCTCCATCCCCTCGCCCCCCAGTACTTATCGGACCTCCTCCATCCCTACACCCCTTCTCGGAGTCTGCGGTCCTCAGACACGGGCCTGCTCTCTGTTCCCCGCTCTCGCCTCCGAGCTGTTGGAGACATGGCGTTCAGTGTTGCGGCCCCCACCCTCTGGAATGCACTTCGAGATCTGCAATGCTGCTTCCCTAGACATCTTCAAGTCATCATTAAAAACTCACCTGTTCGCCATGGCCTTTGACCCCCTAACCCATCACAGTCCCCCTGCTTCCACTCCTACTGCTATTTATTAAATGTCTTACATCATTATTTGCCCCTTTTGTTTGTTTGTTTGTTTGTTCACCATGTAAAGCCTTGGGTCCCTTGAAAGGCATTATACAAATTTCATCTATTATTATTATTATTATTATTATTATTATTAACCTGTTAAGCCCTGAGGCCTCATTTATAAACGGTGCGTACGCTCAAAAGATGGCGTACGCCAGTTTCTAAGCAATGTTTGCGATTTATAAAAAACAAACTTGACGGGAAAATGTGCGGTCCTCCACACAAACTCTGACCCATGCAAAAACGGGAGAGACGAGAAACTGCGACACCGATGGCAGAAGGAAGCCGCGGAGCCGTTACGTTTGGACCAATCCGCGGACTTCCTCACACACACACTCGGTGGGATGTTGCGAGGCTCGCTGCTGCGAGGAGCGGGACACTGTGAGCTGGGTTTCGGGCTGGGTTTCGCTGTGTCTCGCTGTCTCACAGACGGCCACTGGGCTCACAGGGAGGGGGGGGGGCAGGAGCTCCAACAAGCCGTTTAGGACAGAGAGTGAATACACATACTATACAGAGATGCTGTATGAGAAACCAATGTGAGTTTGGAAATGTGCACAATATAAATGTATGTTATATGTCCCCGGCACAAACGCACTGACACACTGCCTGAGGAAGGTTATGTGTATTTTGTCATTAACTTTTTTCGGACCACTTATTTATTTATGGTGACGATCCGACCTTCATGCTGCTACTCTGGTTCAAACTGCATCCACCAAACAATGTGATTTGTCTCCACCTTCCCAAAAGAACGAAAATCGGTGCTAGTGGATCGCCGGAGCTGTATTAGATCAACATTAACATGCTTATTGTAGTTGTAAGTGCACTGCCTTGCGGCCTGTAGCACCATCCTTGATGGGGCATATGCATGCTTGCCAACCTTGAGACCTCAGAAATCGGGAGCATTTCCAAAACCACCGCGGGGGGGGGCGGGGGTGCTAGTGGCTCGCCGGAGCTGTATTAGATTAACATTAACATGCTTATTGTAGTTGTAGTTAGTGGTGGGGCATATGTGTGGGCTGGACCTGTATTTTACAGGAAAGGATTGAGCAGAGGGTAGAGTTGTCGATTCTTGTTCTGTTTTCTGTGACTATCTTCCTCACCCTCTCAGACTTTCAGTTGCGCGCTACTAAAGAGACGCCCTACCATGGAAACCAAACAATGGTGTAGCTGTATTAAAGTCTGAGTGGAAACAGTCCTGAGTAAATCTGATTTTGTCAGAAATCGGGAGAAATGCGGGAGAAATGTGACCCCGGGAGGAAACCGGGAGAGGGCAATGAAATCGGGAGGGTTGGCAAGTATGGTTGTAGCTCTCACAAGCATGCATGCATATGAAATCTCAGTTTTTTAGGGTTTTTGAAAAAAATGGAAGGATGGATTATCAGTAATAATTTTTAAAGTGACACAGAGACATTGGATTAACCTTCAGCAGCGTTTTTATTCCCTTGAACACAACTTTTGATCACAAAACAGCAAAGGTAAGACGTAATTATTGTTATGGTTTTAAAAACGGATGTTGTTTTCTTGCTCTGTTCTGGCTGCTCGCTCAGTGAGTTCTGGCCGTGCAGTGATGAGACTTATACCAATGGAATCTGTGGAATCTGAGTCGTTTGTGCAGATAGTATGAAGTATAAAAGATCGTTTTTGTGAGTTATGAGCAGAAATAGCATTAGCCCGTTTTCGCTAAGGGCTCATTTAGACGCTTCTTGTGAGACTTGTGTTTTGTTTCGGTAAAAAAGGTTCGTATCGTCAGTTAGCTGAGTTTCCTACCGTTAGGTGGGTATGACACATTCACAGTTTGTTAAATGTTAAGAAGCCCTGAGACACAGTTCCGTGGTTAAAATAGAGAGGGTTTTATTTTCTGACACTTTGTGAGTCTCCTGACACACCGGGGACACATATTTATGTATAAAAGACATCAAAAAGTGCATTTTGCATAATAGGTGACCTTTAAAGTCAGTTTAGAAAACTAAATGAAATGAGCATGATTTATTTCTACCGACACCTTTTTCTCTTTAAATGGGCTGAAGAAATTATAAATACAGTTTACATTCTGGGACTATTTTAAAGAGGACACATTCTGCTAATATTAGGGTTAGAGCCTCTACCAGGACATGTCTCCATGCTTTAATGTTCAAAAAGCTCTTTATTTTTCTCATACTGCCTGTGCTGCAGCACCTCTTTTCACCCTCTGTCTGAAACCAGAGCCCAGTCTGCTCTGATTAGTTAGCTGAGCTGCTCTGTTGCGATTGGTCAACCGCTTAGAGCCCCTTAGCCTATCATGTGCAATGTGTTGAAACGCTAGCCAATAGAAGCGCAAGTGTTACATAATTATGTCACTATGTTGCTGAAGTAAACAAATGAGTGGAGGGAACACAGGGATTTTAGGGCCGATCTTTAACTTGGAATAATGCAAATATGTTGCCCTATTGACTGTTTACCAAGTTTTGTCATATAAAAAAGATATTCTGAAAAGAGTTGTAATCAGACCAGTGTGTGTGTGCGTGTGCGTGTGCGTGTGCGTGTGTGTGTGTGTGTGTGTAGAAACGCTAAAGGATCCCCACTTAAGTAACAGTAAGTGTGTTTCAGTGCTGCAGGGCGGGGAGGATGGTCCCCGCGCAGGGTCCGAAGCCCACCCTGTATCCATCTCCCTGACAGTAACCTAGACAGAGGAAAACATGGGACATTAGTATAATTGTAAACAAATGATTATGGATACGAGACAGTTAAATCCTATCATTAGGGCTGGTCTGAAACCTGTTTACATGTCATTTTACAGTCAAACACAACTTTACATCTAATTCATTGTTAATATTTTCATTTTTAAAAGAAAGAAAAAAGGCCCTTCAGCAGTTTTACATCACTTTGCAAGTATCTTAGCGGGGGGGGGGGTTGTTTGATTGATGACTGGGGCATGGAGATGGAATACACTCGCAACACCAGGAACTGTGGTTTGCATTAAAAGGACAGAACATGTTTTGTATGTGAGCTGTAGAAAACAAAAACACAATTTAACAGAAAGTTAGTATTTTGGGGAATAAAATATCTTATTTGAAGATTAGAAAAGTAACAAGAAGGAGACGACAGGGATGGTAAATGACATGCTCAACAAATAAATGCACTTCTTGCAGAATACAAGTAATGCTACAATGCTGACTTGTAAAAGATATAATTGCAGAGGACTGCTGTAAATGCAGAAACCTTAAAGGCCGTGCATCGCAGTGGAAGCTGGACATTATCAGCTGAGAGCTGAATATATTTTCTGTACAGCTGGAGGTGAAATGCCTAATGAAATGATTTATAATAACATAAGAAAGATGACCTGCATTACAAAAAAAAATTGGGAGAAAAACACAGAAAAAATGATCCGTGATCATGTCATAGACATTGAATTTGAAAAATGAGGACATTTATAAGTCAGAGATGATGAATTATGAATTTGAGTTTAATTCAGCATTAAGCTGGACCACATGGGACTAAAAGTCAAGCTAACTCTTCCTCTTCCTCAATGCAAATATATGAAAAGCATTTGGGCTAGACAGGTTTTATTATTACTACAATTGTTTTATTTTTTACTACAAAATGTTATTCATATATTGTATTCAACACCAACATTACCAATGTTTTATCAATAATGAAATAAATTATGGTATTTTTGTTGTTTTGCTTATTGATAATAAAGTTTTTTAAATGATAACCACCACTTGTTATCTGTGCTGAAGGCTGAGTCTGACCTTTGATGGTGACTTGATCTCCATCCCTCAGGAAAGTTCTGGTTTCTCCTCCCCCCAGATCAATGTTCTTAGAGCCCCTCCAGGACAGCTCCAGCATGGAGCCAAAGCTCTCTGGATCCTGATGGAACACAGAACACACAGAATGAGCTCTATATGCTAACTGCACATATACAACACAAGGCTGAGAGGCATCTGGGGCAATAACACATCATCCAACACAAGTCAGGTTTGAAAAATAGCTCATGTATTCTTTGTGCCACCTGGTCAAAACTATATGTTGACATATTCAATACAAGAGGTGGAGGTAAGAGAGGTTAAAAGAGACAGAAACGACAATAAATAAAATCAATTAGATAAATTGTGCAAACCTCAGAATACACATGTATGCGTTTGAGGGTAAACTAGAGATCCCTAAAATCCACAGTTCACATAAACAGATACACCGTTAAAAGATAATCCATCCTATCTAGTGTTAAGGTGCACTCACAGGTCCACTGATGGTCCCCGAGGCCAGCAGGTCCCCTGGTCTCACGTTGCACCCGTTCACTGTGTGATGGGTGAGCTGCTGCTTCATGGTCCAGTACATGTACTACAGACAGAGAGGAAATATGAGCAAAGAGAGGCAGAGCGTGAGAACAAACGTTTAGCTAAAACTGCAACAGGTATTTGAAAGCTGTTGGTTGTGTAGAGGTGTTGTTACTTATTAACCAGGAGTTATTGCAGTGATACAAAATTGACAAGCTAGGCATGGCCCCATTTTACCCAGTCCTGAAAATATTAGTTTGGGACTTTAGCAGAGATTGTTGTTATGGATCCTCTTACCTTAAAGTTTGTCTTGCAGATGGTTGCTGCATCTGCCATGTCCTGTCCTACAAGAGCAAACAGCAACAAGTGACTTATTTTAAAGGAGACATCCACTTTATCACATATAACAGAAGGTTTGACACCCCATTGTGGGTTATATTTTCTGGGACACCTCTCCCTTAATGCGTGTTTGTGCATTTCCAGCCTAATGAGTATAGGTCCTTTGCATGTGTGTATTTCAGGTGTTCTGTATGTACTGTAACAATGGAGTGAAAGCTGAATTTCCCCTTGTGGGATTAATAAAGTATGTCTTAGATTTAGAGCAAAAGTGAAAATAGGACTTGACATGACCACGGTATAGTTTTATTTAGCCATGGCGGAAAGTACCTTGGTACATTTATATCTTGAGGTACTTTTCTGCTACCTCATATTGTACTTTTTCTCCAGCCAAAAAATGACATTTCCTTACAATGAAACTACATGTCTACCTACCAGTGATAGGTCGCTCCGAGGAAACAAGTCGCGAAGACCAAAATGCAAAGCTCCAGACATTAGAAGACTGAAACGCTCTGTGTACTGTACCTTTAAGTGACACAGACAGGTTAATGTTGAAGGTGAAGGGGTCCAGGTGCTGCAGGTAAGGGAGGGGCTCTGGATCCTGCAGAGAGAGGAGCAACAGGGACAAAGTAGAAAAAGTGAGGAGGGGAAGGCTTCATTATGGTATGGTCAGTTCCTTTAAATCAGGTTTTTATGACAGTGTGTAAAGCAGTGATATGTCTACCTGTCTGTGAAGATGACTGAGGAAACCATGGTTTTAATACGCCAAAAACAAAACTAATATGTTAATCTTTTTTTAAACTTAATTTATTATTGAAACTATTTTGCTCCAAATTCTCCACCTTTCTCCTCGACGTGTTAAGGCCCTGACACCAGTGGCGACTGGTCATTAGGGGCAGCCCCACCTAGTGTCAGCAGAAAGTATTAAAATAATAATTACAAAAAAATGCAAAAATAATACATCTTAAAATATATTTTAAGATCATGTTTAATCATCTGATTTGTCTGTACATTGCTGTTTTAGACTGTGTTCTTCTAATTAGTTTCTACAGTGTGTGCTTATTGAGCCGTTTTGAGCCATGTGGGGGCAAGCCCCGATCTAGCCCCTCCCTCTCACTGTCTAAGTGAACGTGTACTGTAAAAACTACACTGCGCATGCTCAAAGTCTTTTTCTATTCAATGTGTGCGGCAAAAAAATAATCACCATAGGGGCACTGTGCTGGCATCCCCACCATACATCATCTCACATAATTCAGATGATTGGCTGATTGGCTGTAAGTACATGTCCCGCGAAAAGTGTAGTGTGTGAAGAGGAGACGAGATAGTGGTGGGCCCAAACCACGCCCTACCCCTCCGTTTGCGAGTTCGCGCGGAGGGTCCGCCACATTAAGTGCTGTTCCAAACCAACGAGTGTGGAGCGGTGTGGAGGGGGAGTGGGCTATCAAGCCACCAAACAGCGAGTCTGCATCGGTGCTGACCATGGATGTATAATAAGAACTGGATACAGCGTCGGAGGCGGGGTCTCGTTCTTTCCTATGAGAGCTGCTGATGACAAAATGGCCCAACTTTTGAGAGAGCGAAACGTCACAGATTACTCATGTCTAGCTTTCAGAGCAGAAGAACCCGTATGTGCGCTCACAGAGCATGCGCCCCTTAAGCCCCGCCCCCCGGGCTCCCACTCTCGGCTCAGTAGAATGAATGGAGACAGAAAATAAATCTAAATTCGGCTTTTAGTGCATTTTACAACTTTAAGGACCTAATGGTTATAATAAGGGCTATAAAATAGTTCATACTGGGTAGTTTATTTAGTTTTAAAAAAATTATCCGCTGATTTACAGACGTTTCTTTCCCAATGTTAGTCAATGGGGAAAAGTCTTTCTGGGCCCAATGACGTCACGGACTGAAACTAAGAAGATGTTTGGAGTTTTAATTTAGTTATTCATTTTTTGTCTAAGAGATGCTGATTTGAAACCGTTGTTACATATAGTTACGGCATTTCCTGTTTCTGCCGGAGAGAGGGGAGTTTGTCCCAAAGCTTGCCGCTGTATCTACTCCCTCCATCTGACAGGAGGGAGCCTCGTTGAGCTGCGAGTGTCACTCCACGGAGTTCACTCCGTCAAGGAGGGGGAGTGTGTGGGTAGGGTGTAGGGCGTGGTTTGGGATTGGGCCGTGCAGTGACGCGTCCTAAAACCCGGAAGTAAGCTGCGCACGGGTTCCCTCGACAAAAAAGCAATGAGATTTCTCCATAGGATTTTAGAAAATAGCTCGAAATAAGGTCTGTGCAGGGGCGGACTGGCCATTGGGAATACCGGGAGTTTTCCCGGTGGGCCGGTACCAAAGTGGGCCAGTCGGACAATTCACTAGCAACTCCCCCTAGAGGAGGTGAGGTCCGCCCCCCACTCATAAAAAATAGCACTTTACCCCTGCCTATATGCCGTGAGCTGATTATCGAGCCTTCATTGTAACAGTCGCGGGTGTACTGTGTGTTTGCGTGTGGGGAGTGTTGCAGTAGAAAATTCCACTGTAGCGCCGCGGCCGCCGCCACTGTGGGCTAAGCCCCGAATGTTTCAGGTCCAGGCGACGCCCCTGGTCTGTGGAAAACGTTTTTGTTCAGCCGGATAATATCCACATGTCTACCCTACTTTTATAATTTTCGAATCATAAATCTATCAATTAAATGTATGATTCGACTTTTGAAACTAGAGGAAGATAAGGAGGACTTTTACAAAAAAGTAATAGATATTTTTGTCAAGAAGGATAGGCAAATGGATTTCATCTTCAAGTCAAGGAAAGACCACAATTTTATTGAAAATGGGATCTTACTAAGAGAGAACAATCCAATATTTAAATGATAAAAAAAAATGTTTTGGGTATCCTTTTGTTGAACTGTCTGTTTAAAATGAATCGAAGCATCAGACTAAAAAAGCTTTTGAAAATATAATATTTTGATTTAGGTCAAAATATAATATTTGTAAACCTGAAGAGTCAGTGCCAGTGCCAGTGCCTCACCAGCCATGAACCTCGCTGCACGTCACTGCAGAAGTTTATACTGTATATAAACATCTACGTTTTTTGTGTTTTTGTACATACTGCCTGACACACCAAACTGACACCAAAGAACACGTCCCGACGGACCCGATTGTTGTTTCGCCTCACGTCTCCTGCGTCTTGGCCAAAAAGTCGCACTGGAACTCACCGCAAAGACTTCAGCCGACGGCCAAGTAGCACGTACGTCCCGCAGCGGGGTGGAGGTTGTGCATGTGTGAGTGGCAATAACTCTCCTTACCAGCAAGCGGCGGTAGTGTGTATTCTTAATTCAAAAGAGGCAACCGGAAGACAGACTGCGTGATATATACAAACACCAAATAGCGTGCGTTCCATTTTCACTCTCGTCCATCACAGACTGTTTCACAGACTGTTTCACATAACGACTTATAATCGAAAACATGTTCAGTGCGGTACTGGAAAACGAAAAATAATAGCCGTCTGTGTGTGCCATCTTCACTTCCGTTTCACTTCTCATGCACTGATTCGCTAAGCTGAACAGCCAATCCGAGTGATTTATTTTGCCGACAGCCTTTTGCCGACAGTCTCCCGATGTTGAATCGGGAGCGGAAGGTGTCGGCACGGCCGAAAAGACACGGCGGTGCTGGACACACCAATCTGAGTAGGGCGACAGGACGCTCATCGACGGCCAGACATCTATCGACGGCCGAAATCGGCCCGGTGTGTCCGGGCCTTTAGAGAACACAGAAATGTAAACTTTGAATGAGCAGCAATATTTTCTGAATCCGTATAAGCTAATAAAGTCCAGGGGTTTATAATAAAATATATCATGCCTACTAGTGTGCTGACTCAGCATAAATAACATTACATTCTAAAAAGAAGTTGATGTACAGTACAGGAGCATAAATATCTGAAAGCATTACAGAATTCCTGAAAGCCGTTGCACATTATTTTTATATTTTGAATTGAAACCTAGAGCCTGAATTTTTTGTTTTTCCTTGAAATAAATAAGGTCTTTGACACCATAAATTGTCCAAAGGCATATATGTTCATAAGGAGAGTCAACCCCAGTGTTGAAACACACCGACTCACTTGCCTTGATGTCACCTTTCTACACCTAAACCTTGGCTGACACAATGCCCCAGCTTTAATAAAAGAAAGCCCCAATATCTGATGTTGGTCCAGAGAGCAATCCAAATGTCTCTAATGTGGAGGACCATGGAGGAGATGTTGTCACACCATCAGAGCAGTTACAGGACCGCGGTGCTGACCTGGATGGCGTTGGGCTCTGCGAAGGGTAACAGCGCCTCCATGGGGATGACCCAGGGGGAAATGGTTGTTCCAAAGTTCTTCCCCAGGAAAGGACCGAGAGGAACATACTCCCACGCCTGGATGTCCCTGGCTGAGAATAAACATGAATATAACTGCAGGATAGAACACACAGTCATGTGTGGAGCTGGAGCCTCAGGAGAACTGATACATCGAACGGGATTACATAATCAGGATACAGTAAAAGGTAACTGTATTCCCTGTGTAATCCTGCATTTAAAATGATGGATTACTAGCAGGATAACAGTGTTATTAAAACCTAAAAAGATCATCTAGTGTTTGTTGTAAAAGGATCAGATGTTATCTCTTCTCTTAGAGCTGTACTGTTCTGTAGGATAATACTTTACGTGTGAATCTATCTGAAACTGCCTGAATCTGCTTTATGGTTTTCACTTTCTTTGTTCATTTGTTCTGTTTTTAATTCAGTAGGTGAACCTATATATTCATAAAGAAACGTATATATTTTGATAGCTAAATAAGTAAGAATACATTTTCGTATGTGAAATGAGTCATTGTAACTCTCCTAACCATGCATATTGGAGAAGCAATTTCAAGTAAGGATTTCTCTGATTATATTAATATTTTTTTGCAATGCCAGTTTAAATGTACTACTGATGGCTACAGTATGCTGGGAGTGAACGGGTGGGAGGGTATTAGAGACAATGACAGTCAGAGAGCGCCAGCCCCGTGCATGTCTCTCCAGATCTGAATCAATAATACATACACCTACTAATATTTTGATGAGGACTGCCATTATATCTAAAATCATTTCCATCAGACTATATCTGCAGTGGCAGCCCCATGTATAATGAAGATCTGCATTAAGGAACAAGAGTGCTTCTAAGTGAAACGCCATTGCTGATTACAGTGTTGGTTTGGATGCGTATAAGCAGCTCTATCACTGATTTAGAACTATCTGACAAACTTTCTCACAAATATCAGCTTTCCATCATCATCATGTTCAATGACTGTAAAGCCTATCATTATCACCAAGGGTGGCCTTGATGTGTCAGGGAACCATAGCTACAAGCACACACGGAGGATGTTTGATTTGTTGTGCAGAGGCTCACCGCTCCAGTCGTTCATGAGCACCATGCCGAAGATGTGTTCATGGGCTTTCTCGATGGGGATTGGCTCCCCCAGCTGATTCCCTCCTCCAACAAAGAAGGCCTATCAGAGTAAGGAAGAAATATAATGGCAATGAAATACTGACGTTGTGTTAAAGGTCCAATGTCATGCTTTTCCGGTTATTACCCGTCCCCTTGTGTGTTATGAAGGTTTTTCTGCATGTAAACGGCGAGTAAAACTCTAACACAGAGAAGACCTGTCTATGCTGCCCCAGAACGCCTCGTTGGAGATTTCTCTTTTTCCATTGTTTTCTTTCTGAGTAAAGTGACGTGCCCATACCCAAATGGACCCATTGACCAAATAGACCAATCCCTGGAGCCGTTACGTTAAGTCCGTGGATTGGTCCAAAAGGACCAATCCGGACTCCCTCACACACACACACTCAATCTTTTCTCAGCTGCAGCTCCGCCGATTTCTCCTCCCCGAGACGGCGGGACGCGGCGAGGCTGTGAGTCGGTGTGTGAGCACACACACAAACTCCCAGCCAGGCTGCGGGTGTGTGTGGGTTCGGGCTGGGTTTCGCTGTGTCTCACTGTCGGCCACTGGGCTCATAGGGAGGGGGGGGGCAGGAGCTCCAACATGCCGTGTAGGACAGAGAGTGAATACACATACTATACAGAGATGCTGTATGAGAAACCAATGTGAGTTTGGAAAATTGCACGATATAAATCTATTCTAGTAGACCTCAACAATGGAATTATGATCAGTAGAAATGGCCATGACATGGGACCTTTAAAATCACAACAGCTGACAAAAGGCTAGAGAGAAGGGAAACCTTGGCTTATCCTAGGGCTGCTCAATTATGGCAAAAATCATAATCACGATTATTTTGGTCAATAATTGATATCACCATTATTAAAAAACGATTATCCATTTACTGACTTAAAAAAAATGTGAACACTATGTTTTTAACAGTTGATTACCCTGAACTTTAAGTATAATTCAACTGAAAAACCAATAAAAAAAATTAAATCAAAAAGAATAATAGTTTTATTTCGATTACGTTGTTATCGTAATCGTTGCAAGCCAAAATCGTAATCGAGATTAAAATACGATTAATTGCACAGCCCTAGCTTATCCTCAGGGAATTTGGATTTTGAAGTACTCACCATCTCCAGCTCGATGTCCAGCTGCTTAGACGGGCCAAACACTGGAGGCTTTGCTGAGAGGAAAAGGAAACATGCAGTAAGATGTGCAGCTCTGTGTATATGTCGATCAGGGCAAACCATTCCATCTATGGGCCAAGGCTGCATTCATTGAAAAAGCAATAAAAAGTATGTTCTGTTTGAGACACATTTGTATCGTTTGAATCCATAATAATGTAAACAAAGATGAAATATATAAGGTGTATAATACATGAAATAACAAAATAATGTTCACTGGAAAGGAGCGACCAGTGGAGTCACAGGCAGCGAATAAAGAGGCACCACAAAGAGTGGAGGACAGAGAGAGCAGTCACAGAGAGAAGAAGTCTGTAGTGTGGATTTATATCTTTACTATTTAATTAAATATTGACAAATGGATTACTGCTTCAAAGATCATGTATGCTACTGCCCACTATCACATCTAAATGTTATCCAATTTTGCCCACTCCAAATGTCTTAAAAAGCACATCTTGAGCAGGTCCAACGTTGGTGGGGTCATTCCCCTGAACCTCCCCAGCCGGCTTATTTAAGACCTCTGTATTTATAAAATCCTGCGTATGAACATGGTTGGCAGTTGAATTTTAAAAGGGTTAAAAAAAGTGTGAAAAAAAATAAACAGTGCAGTACTCTTCTAGGGTTTGCAAAGATGTAATAACAAGTCTTAAACTTGTATCTGTAACATGCTCTTCTCTGGTGATTTGTTGTGTGGACTCTGTCAGCTGTGGGGATCTTACTCTGGTCCGGCCTCATCTGGCCTGAGGGCCGGCGGATGGGGGTCCGAGAAACGACCACTGAGGAGGCCCTGCCGTGGTACCCCACCGGGAGCCTCAGCCTGCAGACCCAGGATCAGTGTTAGCATGACGGGAGCACAGGGAAATACAGCACAGAGCAGTGAATGGGCCGCTGGGCCTAGATCAGATAACGTAAAATATATATATATATATTACCAATGTCTGCTTTTCTTTCTTGCATGCCTTTTCTACCTGCTATGCCAATTTGGAATATTATTTTGTCACAGCAGCATGTAGCCAAAGAATGGCACATGAATTAAAAATTAAATTAAACTAATAAAAACAGTAAATATCTATATATCAACAGTGAAAAATGTATACTTATAAAGTGTCTCAATTAAATACACAATATTAATACACAGGTGGAAGTCAGTGTAACTTTGATTTGATAAAACGAACTAAATGTTTTCAGAATATACCATTAACATTATAAGTGAGCTAAGTCAGTACAGTATATTACATTTGAATGCACAAGGTACAGTGTGAGAACTATATACACATATGAGTGAATTAGGGTTTTTGAAAGGGGAAATTAAATATTGAACATGAAGGGCATTTCACTGAGCAGCTTTGTCTTTTTGATAGAAGTACTTATGTTACAATTAGAGCATGTATAGAGGATGTTGGGTCAGTTGTAAAACAGTTCTCTTAAACTATATTGAAAATGAGCATGTTTAGACGTCCCAATACTACCCAGGTACTTCCTCCTGACTGCTTTTCTGTTTTGTTTTTTTGTTTTTTTGTTTTTCTGTTTTGTTTTTGTTTTGTTGTTGTTGTATTGCCTGTCCTTGTTTGTCTACCCTTCCCCAAATGTAAAGCGTCTTTGGGTTAGAGAAAAGCGCTATAAAAATACAATTTATTATTATTATTATCTCTGGGAAGTGAAGTGCAGAAGTGCTGGCGGGTTTAAACTGAAGTTCTGGGGTGCTTTTTAATTAAAGTAACCTTGAAGCCTCCCTCCATATCAAACCGTCTACAGAGATTGATGAACAGTTTGCTGTCACTTTCTGCCCCTAGTGGAAAGTATCAAGGCCTGGTTTGATGGAGTGTGTACCAGTTTGGCATCAGAGCGTTCTCCTTCCCCCGGAACATGGTGCCCACGTTTGTGGCGTGGTCTCTGGAGGAGTAGAAGTCGGTGTAATCTCCTGTAAAAACAGATCAGATGAGAGGAACAGGCTGGAAGAGTCTCATCTGCTGGATGTACTTCAGCACCAACTGGACTGAATGAACCAAGTCACCAGTGGTAGAGATGTAATACGATGCTAAACATCGCCCTCTGGTGCTGATGGGCCCTGACTACATTCTACTATGGGAATGCTAATGCCAGTATTTATTTCTTCTTAGCAACAAAGCAAATTACCTTTATTGTGCCTTTCTTTATGACCCAAAGAATCAAAAATGTTGGTGTTAGTTATCAAACATACATTTACAGTTGGTTAAAAACACAGAAATGTCAGTAATAACACAATTAGTGTCATTTTTCCTCTGGACTATTTTTGCATATTAATCTTTAAAGTTTAAGCACATGAGAACATTTTAAGGCTCGTTATGTGTACATATAAATGTGGGTATTCTGTTTCTATTAACGAAAAAATTCTGAGAGGATGTTCCGTGGAAGGAGAGACTCACCGATGTCTGCAGGAAGGTGCATGGTCGCTGCACTCTGATGGACCAACGCTCTGCAGAGACAAACACAGAAACATATTTGTATATAAATGTATGATGGAATAAGCTGTCTCGAGAAAGGCCAGATAACCAGCCAGCACGCGAAAGAGGAGAAGCTTTGTGGAGTTTAAAATATAAGATTAGGGTCCAACTGTACAAGATATTATTTTTGCGAATAGGTTTTGAAGGGCTTTTCCTTAGATGTTATATTTATATTTTCTAATGGTTTGTTTAAAGGACACCTATCATGCTATATTTAAATGATATATTGTAGGGCCATACCTATATAAGGTATATTTATACGTTTCTGTTTTCAAAATACCAAACAGATCATGCATTTTAGCCATGCCTCATTTCGCTCCATTTGCTCTTTCCAGCACTGTTTTTGCACCGGGCTGATTCTGTGAGCTGCAGCTGACCACGCCCCCCTGCAGGAGAGGATAGCGTGCTCTGAACAGCTGCTGGGCTGTCAGAAGAGGGGGGAGATCTCCGTCCTCCGTGTTTTATTATATTATTATATAGAGTCGTTATTCATATAAATAACAAAGAAGACCTTTGACCGGCACTTTTCAAATTTTGTCCAGAAGATTTAAACTTTAACGGACATCTTGACCGGCGAAAGAAAACCTAACTTAAACTCTGCCGCACGGTCCCCTCGTTCCTTGGAAGAGGCGGAGAGGTGGGTGTTTGTCATCTGCTGGTGGACTAACCGGAGAGAATTACAGTGCTTGCCTCGACGGGGAGGGATTGCATTGAATTAAAGCAGCAGGAGGAGCAAACGCTTGCCTCGGGGAGGGAGAAAAAAAGCCACAGCGGAGAATAAACAGAAGGGTAACCATGGTAACCATGCACGGGAAGTCTTCTTCGCTGCTTTTGTGGCAGACTACAGAGCCACTTACAGGCCTGGCATATGTACTACAGCGTCTCCAGCGCTTTCGAGCGGCAATGACCGGCCGTGGCCCAACCCCACATTCCCCTGATAGGTGGAGAGTTGGCCCAATAGCCGTAGCGCCGCCGTCCTGACGTCAGGACAGTGTTCAAATCTGGATCAGTTTTTATCAGATCCGTTGCAGCCCCTTTTTTAGAGATTTGGGTATGGAGGAAAATAGAGAGGGTTGTGTTTTCTGACACTTGGTGAGTTCCCTGGAACACCGGGGACACATATTCATGTATAAAAGACGTACAAAAGTGCATTTTGCATGATAGGTCCCCTTTAACATGTACGGAAGAAGATTAGGGCCAGAAGTGAAATCTTTTGAGTTCTGAGAATAAAAAGCTAGAATTGTGAATTTTTGGGGGAATTCTGTTCTTAGGATTCGGACTTCAAAGATAGAATTTAAAGTCAGAATTTTGACTTGTTTCTCAGAAATCTGTCTAATTTCAGAAATCCTACTTTAATCTCAGAACTGAAGAAAAAGCTGATGTAAGAACAGTAACATTTTGAGGGTTTGAGACACCTGTTACAGGTTAAAGGAGAAGAAAAATGTAGGGATATTAAAAAAACTAACAATTACATTACATGTCACTTAGCTGAGGCTTTTATCCAAAGCAACTTAAGAATGTTTGAATACCGCAGACAGGCTAAATCGATAACATTTAACAGGATTACGTAATCAGGATACAAAAAAAGGTAACTTTATTCCCTTACAGTTACATACAAAAAAAGGCGTAATCAGATTACTGTTACATTTCTAAAAGATTATTTTGATAATCACATAGGGCTAATGTTTGCATTTTTTCTAGTAACTAGTAACTGTAACAGAATCCATTTTTAAAGTCCCCCTCCCACTCCTGACTGACCTGCTGCGGAGGCTGACATCATCCCTCAGAGCGCTCTCATTGGCTGACAGCAGCCCCTGCACCGTGCTCCTGGCCTCCCTCCAGGACTCACAGCCCAGAGCCATGAAGGCGTTCAGAGTGGGCTGCAGACACAGAAAAACATTCAATATGACACATTAATGATGGAATAGATTCAAAGTATGCTTCTGAATGTAACCTTCCTGTTGTCCTCGGCTCACATTCGTCCTGCTCCTAATGTGATTCGGTTGGACTAAGGGGTTATTGATTGATGATTTTTTACTACATTATTTGCAAGAAAAAGTAATGATTACTACTTTAATTGAATTATGTGTTTAATTTAAGTCTATAGCATCTGGTGTCCTCAAATTTGAAATGTTTACAAACTTTGACATCAATAAATGTGCCCTTGATCTCAACTATAGAGAGGCGAAGTCCCTCCTCTTCCGATTGAGCTCCATGGGACCTTATTTCGGAAAAGTTATGCATTGAAGTCAATGGAGAGAGAAAGATTATCTTTCGATCCCGTTTGAATTGTGCCACGAATTACACATATGATGTTTGTCAATTTAAAAAATAATTTTACAAGTCAAAAAAATAAAAATGTGTCGTAAAACTGTGAAGTAACACTTTTCTTTGTGTGAACTGCTCAATGACCTACATCTCCCGTCTCGCACCACCAGTGGCGTTTTTATATGTACAAAAGTGGTGGGGCACAAAAAACTTAGATGTCTATATATAAGCTTCTGCAGTGATGTGCAGTGAGGTTCATGGCTGGTGAGGCACTGGCACTGACTCTTCAGGTTTACAAATATTATATTTTGACCTAAACCAAAATATAATATTATTTTCAAAAGCTTTTTTTGTCTGATGCTTCGATTAATTTTAAACAGACAGTTCAACAAAAGGATACCCAAAAAATGTAATTTTATCATTTAAATATTGAATTGTTCTCTCTTAGTAAGATCCCATTTTCAACAAAATGGCGGTCTTACCTTGACTTGAAGATGAAGTCCATTTGCCTATCCTTCTGGACAAAAATTTCTATTACTTTTTTGTAAAAGTCCTCCTTATCTTCTTGTAGTTTCAAAAGTCTATCATAAATCTAATCGATAGATTTATGATTAAAAAATTATAAAAGTAGAGTAGACATGTGGATGTTATCCGGCTGAACAAAACGTGCATTTATCTAACAGGTACGTTTCCCACAGATCTTATTTCGAGCTATTTTCTAAAATCCTATGGAGAAATCTCATTGCTTTTTTGTCGAGGGAAGCCAAGCGCAGCTTACTTCCGGGTTTTAGGACGCGTCACTGCAGCTCTCTCGTCTCGTCTCCTCTTCACACACCACACTTTTCGCGGCACACGTACTTACAGCCAATCAGCTCTGAATTATGTGAGATGACGTATGGTGGGGATGGCAGCTCAGTGCCCTTATGGTCATTATTTTTTTGCAACACACATTAAATAGGAAAATACTCTGAGCATGCGCAGTGTAGTTTTTACAGTCACCGTTCACTTAGACAGCGAGAGGGAGGGGCATGATCAGGTTTTGTCCCACATGGCTCTAAACAGCTCAATAGGCACAAACTGTGACTGTAGACACTAATTAGAAGAACACAGACTAAAACAGCAATGTACAGACGAATCAGATGATTAAACATGATCTTAAAATATATTTTATATTTTTTTTAATTTCTTTTTTTGCATTTTTTTTAATCATTATTTGTAATACTTTCTGCTGACACTAGGTGGGGCTGTGCCTGCCCCTAATGACCAGTCGCCACTGCGCACCACACACCAAGACAGCCGTCACGTTGGCACATTTCACTTCTTTCTTTCAGAATGAGGCAAAAAGTATTAAAAGAGGTGAAAATCACTCCAAGTCTGGGCATGTTGAGAGCTGTACATACACAAAAGGGGAGTTAGTCGGTTCCGTAAGAGCCAGCATGCGGGACCAGGATTCTGGGATTTGTAGTCTTTCTAGTTGCGTACTTTTCATAGTCTTATATTTCAACAGTTTTACGACAAACTGTGACTTTTTTGACATGGAAATTCATTTTTAAGATTGACAAACATCATATGTGTAATTCGTGGCACAATTCAAACGGGATCGAAAGATAATCTTTCTCTCCCCATTGACTTCAATGCATAATTTCCCATAAGGTCCCATGGGTCGGAAGTAGATGGGCGGGACTTCGCCTCTAAATGATATGTATTGACCATAAATGCCAAAAAGGAAAGTAAAACTTGGTAAAAAGTTGGGATGAAGTTGAATTAAAAGGTTAAACAGATTTGGGTGAGGATTTTTTTTAGCGCTGTCAAGTTAACGCGTTAATAACGCGTTAACACCACTAATTATTTTAACACGATTAACGCATGTGTATTTTTTGTCCTCGGCCGCCCCGTAGTTTCAGAGCGCATCGAGTTTAAAATACCATCTACAAGCTGATGCTGACAGCCCCGCTCCTGCCGCCCGCTTGTGGCAGACCACACTTCTGGCACACTTTAAAATGCGTGTTTTCTAAATGGAGATTAGCTAAGCTAACGCAATATATGCTCTGTATTGTATTATTGTATGAGAGAGGTTCCAGGTTGAATTGAGGCGAATATTTGTAATGTTCAGAGGTTGTTGTGTTTAATATTCATGAGAATATTTGTCATTGTTCAAATGATAATAAACAAACATATAAAGCATATTTGTCCACTCATATAAGAGTATTAAAAACTTGAAAAATATCCCTCTAAGGTACATTTAGAACAGATAAAAAATGTGCGATTTTGCGATTAACTATGGACAATCATGCGATTAATCGCGATTAAATATTTGAATCGACTGACAGCCCTAATTTTTTTATATGCATTTAAAACAGTCAAACCAGGAAAAAAAGTTCCACAGTTGATGGGAAGACACCACAAAGATTATACATCAGTGATAATAACATAGACAAATAAAATAACGATCATTAAATATTATTACACTAACCCCTTTACTCAACCCAAACACTTCTCAAATCATCACTAGTTTCTGTAAAGTGGCAGGAACATAATAATGTTGTATACAACCACAGGAACAGGACTGAGTGGACCTGCAATTTAAATGCCATACTGTAGTAAGATAAAACTATTCCACTGCCATTAGAGTAAATCTGATTAAAGGGTCAACTCTCTGATAACCCCTAGAGGTCAAACGTACCCGGTCAAAGACGTCCTGATGTTGGGACAGCAGCGGCCCTCGGAACATGGACATGATCACACTGAGGTCCAGTATCTGGTCTCCAATGGCAACACCGACGCGGCGTTTGGGCTGGGGAAATAAAACACCTTGACATGAATACAGGTCATCACAGAACTACAATCAATAACTTTATTTGTTTAAACATGTTTTCAATGTTTCAGCAAGGTAACCTGCATCACTTGAAGTATATCGGTTTTCCTGGGCTTATAGCTTATACTTCAATTTAGAAAAGTATAAAAACTTTTTTTTTTGCATTTAAAGTATATAATACTCTATTTATATATATTGGTTATTAACTTTGTAATGGATTTGGTCTTTGGGGATTTCTTGATGAGAGTGGCAAAGGTTCCTCAATGACCGTCTTTTCCTCTTAGACACACATGTATGAAATGCTGTTGTTTTGAAAAACTTATTGTTTCTGACATGACACAAATCTGTGTAAAGGTAGAAAGAAGACTGCACTTACATTATTATCTGTGGAGAATATTCCATAGGGCAGGTTGTGGAAGGAGAAGTCGGACGATGGATCCACTTTAATGAACGACATCTTCTCTCTGTTCTTCTATCTGTTCCTCTCTGTGTTCCTGAGTTACTGAGTGAGCTGCAGCAGTAAGAGCTGCCAGATGTGGGACTTTGTACAGTCCCGCCTCACTTTGCACCGACCAATCACACGCAGCCTTCAGCATCCACCCCAACCCAGACCCCTGCTAGTTAATGCAAACCAGCCTGTGGAATGACTCAGCGAAATGCACTCGATACTGATCCAGCCTCCTCTGTTTTTAGAGCAGATTCGTAAATGCCTAGCAGTTGTTTATCAATTAAAAACACTTTTCAAAAAACATTGCAACTTAAGTGGAAGATTGAACTGAGCAATAGTTTCAGAAAATAACAAAATGTAAAAACAGAGGGTTTGGGTTTCATATGATAGGTATAACATGAAAGAAAAATAAGGATTTAAAGACTCCTTAAAGATATTAAATTAAAATAGGAAAGAGTTAAGACATCAAATAATAATAACAGAATAAATCAGTTGAAAGTAAATGGGATTGAAAGCTTTTCATTTTGTAAAACTATTCCAAACAACATGTGGTTAAAATCAAGAGTTACTCGAGTATAAACTGACTGGTCTCATGGAGAAAAGCTTTTTCTTTAAGGTTAAAATGTACTGTGAGAACTTTGCCTGAAATTGTGAGCGATGCCGTTGTTTAAATATTGTTTTGTGTTGGTGTTGTGACTGCATGATGGTGGTAATTAAGTTGCTCTGTTAGAATGGGCTTTCTTCAGGATTTACAAAGTCTTTACAACTGTACAAACGGCAGATCACATGTCTACTTCTGCCTCTGAAACTGAAAAATAATTTGTATGAAGACTTGGTTTCTGACATGGGCCCTACAAAACTGCTACAGGTTATCAGAATGTCAATCATTAGGTTTTAATGTGCAATATTATCAGGCCCGGCTCCAGGATGAAATGACTGAGGGGGCTGTTAACAAATCTGAGGGGGCGATTCTTTTTCACAACAACGTAAAAAAACGTCAATGTAATGAATTGACACACCAAGCTTTTTTCCTTCTCACTGCTCTACAATCTCTTTGCTTCTTTATTTTTATTCCGGATTCACCCCTCTCATTCTGTTCTTTTCCTCTGATCTTTAATAATAGTACTTTATTAGATGGCTGCACTTTGGTTAACAGACTAACATTGATTTCCTCCATTTATACATTGACAGGCTCTGTAATTATACCATAACCTTTTCTCCTCTATCCCTTAACTCCTCTTCCTATCAGACTTACAGTAGGCCCAGGCCCCACGGGAACGAAAACGGGTTGTATCCACATATTTCTCTTGCGCATAGCCCTTTAAGCTACACGACGCCATAACGGAACGGTAGAAACGGACCCTGCAAACGACAACGGGTCCAAAGGTGGATAGATCTGGGAACGGAGCGCTCTGGGGGGTCCTCTGGGGGGTCCAACGGGGCCGTGTGGCAGCCTATACGGTCATCCTTTTCTGATAATGACGACGCAATAGCCCCGCCTCTCCCCACCTCTGCTGCTCACCCCCGCAAAAGTACACTGCACACTGAATTCAGATTATTTATCTTTATCTCGATATGGACATAAACGCGAGTGAAGTCTAATCTGACAGGACGGAGACACGCAGCTCCTCCCGCTGTGATGCAGCGGGAGCAAAACACACACTTCAAGTCAGATCATCACCCTTAGCTATTTTAATTACCTCTCAAACTACCTAAACTAGTTATAAATATGTTTATTTTTACTGTCGAGTCATCATTACTGGATCAGCTGCTGCATGAGACAGACACTGACGCTGTCAGAAGAGAGGAAAAAGAGACAGCCTCCGTGTATTTTATTATTATATATCATTATATAGAGTCGTTATTCATTTGTTTTAAAGCTCAATAAATAACAAAGAAGACCTTTGACCGGCACTTTTATAATTTTGTCTGGAAGATTTAAACTTTAACACACGTTGACCGGCGAAAAACTCTGCCCGGTGTCAGTACCATGGGTGTTTCTCAATCGCGAGTACGCTTGCTTGGTATCACATGTCTGCCGAGCATCTTGCTTCAGAAGCGAGGCAAGAATACTTCCTGGCATTCGGAAAACGAAGTGTGGAACACGCTAGCAAGTGTGCAGGTGTGCGTCATATGAGAGGCCCCGCCTTACATCTTCCGCCACAGATTTGGGGAAATTGGTCCGTGCGCAAAGCATTGTGGGGATTTTAAGACCGCGAAGTCTACTCATGTGCAGCCTCGATATTTCTCCAAACGGAGTACGCCGGGCTCGGTAGATTTCCAAGTATGCTGGAGATTGGAACAGTACTTCGGCGGCACTCGATGACGTAGTATGCTTGAAATAGTGGCTCTGAAGCAGCTTTACTCGCGATTGAGAAACACCCCATATGTGTTCGCCCTACCATGGCCCTTTCTCATGTCATCAAATGTCCCTCCTCGACTCCTCGACTCCTCGGTCCTCCGGTAGTGACCCGGAAATGAATTTTAGCGCGCCATGTTGAAGGACATCTCATTTCTCGAAATGCACATCGAGGACCGAGCATCGAGCGTCGAGGAGGCTCTCTGGAGGAGCTATAACCGAGGATACACTGATGGGTCCTCCACGGCTCCTTCGTGGATGCATTTCCGGCAACAGTGATGTTTCAAAGAGTCGAGACGCACGGCCGGACTTATCTCAGCCAATGACAGCTCTGCATGCATCCCCTGGATATTATTTTATTAACTGCTTTCATCGCGACGCAATGTTTACAGTGAGAACAGCTGTGAGGTCCGTGCAGAAAGCAGAGCAGTGTGTATAATATATATCATATCACTCAGTATAACAGGCCTACTCTCTTTATTTGCTTTAGTTTAGTAGATATCTACAAAAAAAGTCGATATTTTTCTAAAACCATTTAGTGCTTCACATAATAAAATACACAACGGCTGTAGCCTGATTATATGCTTTAGGAGCTGTAGGTGCGTGTGTGTGGTGTAGGTGTGTGTGGTGCAGTGTGTGCGTAGATGCAGCGGACAGACAGGTCTCAGTTGGTTTGGTGTCCTCTGCTTACTTGTAATACTTGTAAATAAAACTTTTGGCCCGTCATTTATTTCCCTCATTGTAGCGACCAGAGAGGGGAGAGGGGATATATCCAGTCTCTGATAGTGTTACGTTATTATGAGAGTGCTCTGTTTGATTCTGAAATTGTATATATTTATATAAATATATACATATATGTGTGTGTGTGTGTGTGTGTGTGTGTGTATGTGTGTGTGTGTGTGTGTGTCTGTGTGTCTGTGTGTATGTCCGCATCTGTAGCCTGTTATTGTCTCATTATACCGCACTGTGAATGAATTAAAAGTAAATATATAAGTCGTCAAGAACACATCTGTCCATCAGACAGAGGGCTGCTGTGCCTCCTGTCATCATTAATGGACGTCTCTTTAAAATGACCGCTCAGAGGAGAGGAGTTCTCATTTCTCTAACCGCCTGCTGCTTCCCCTCCTCTCTCCTCGGTTCCCCTCCTCGGCTCCTCCGCTCGCATCTCCTGTGGGCGGGACTAAGTCTCGAGGATAGGAGTCGAGGAGGGGAGTCGAGGAGGGACATTTGAAGACATGAGAACGGGCCCATATGTGTTCGGGGTCCGTCGCTTACCAATGACGTCACGCATTGTGATTGGCTGTACGGTAATCGTAGTAATCAGCAGCGAACCGCTTCAACACGTGTATTTCGGTGTATTCACGGCATTCATTTAGTTATTCTACAGTATTGTTGTTTTATAGTTATTTGTTAATGTAACCCAATTTGTGTTCTTTGAAATTTAAAAGGATATCGCATTGTGTTTGTTACTTTCGTTGCAGTTGTATACGTCTTAAGTGTAATTTGGCTTGGCTTCCTATTTATGGACATGCTTTTATTTTGAAGGAGAGTTAGCGCAGTTGACAGGAAGTTGTTGTTGCTTTGGAAACAACGTGACAGAGATTAACGGAGAAAAGTAATATCTACATATAAAGACGGAGAAAGTAAACGATAACGTTTATGGTTAAGTGTTAGCACCCCCCGAAGAGGCACAAGCTCTTACGTTGATATTGGAGATTTCAATAAATTCAATTTTAAAAAAAACGGGGAAAAAACAAACAAAACGAATATCTGAAGAACGAAATTGAAACCCGAATAGTACTCCAACGAACGAATATTCGGATATTCGGGTACAATAGGGCTGTACCCGAATAATATAATAAAGTTATAGTAAATAATAACAAATTCCAGTGTTAGAATTCCATAATTCCATATTTATAAATAAAATGATATGCAAATAATATTTTATTGGCTGTGGACTTGTACTCTACATAATTATGTTGAGCTCATGGTAATCTAATTCAATAAACAATAACTGCAATGAACAGATAGCATTTTCTGACTCGTAAAATGATTGGATATGGTGTAATTTGGTAAATGATTCTGTGTTGAAAAATGTATATCATACTATTTTTTCTTGTAAATCGATCGAGAGGGGTGTTCAAATAACGTATTTTGGTGTGTAGAACACAAATCTATTTAGATGCTTTTATTTTGAAGTTGTTGCTATGGAAACAACATGACGGAGAAAAAAGTAATATCTTCTACATATAATAACGGACAAAGTAAAGAATGAAGTGTATGTTTAAATGTTAGCACCCCCCGAAGAGGCTCAAGCTCTTACGTTGAGTCTGGAGTTTCAATACATTCGGAATTTGACCGTTGAAGTAAGAAGATATGATTCTACACTGTATTGAAGTAAACATGTATTGTTTGAACTGTTGTATGTATAATCACTTAGAAAAAGAATGTTATTCTCACTTTTAAATTCACTGGCCCAGAGATTCTGTGTTTCATACACCAACATTGATCCTTATCACCACTAAGAGCCAGATGCTGTTTCTAAGTCGTTAAAGACATCGTAAAATAGGAAAAGATCCCCTGGGAAGGAATGTAGCAGTAAGATAAGGTAAAGATAAACATTGACTTTTGACCTAGTGTGGTTTGGGGTCTCACTCTGTTCGAAACTCTGATTGACCTCGGCCAG